ATAAAGCTTATATAGGACCTTCGTCTGAGCAAAGTAAAAATCAAAACCTTCTAAAAAACTTTCTCAGAGGTCATAAATTTTACCACTTCAGGCCTTCTTAGAGAATGTTCAGTTCAATTAACAGTAAAATAGCTTTAATAAGCCAAAATGTGATTTGTGTACTATACAGCTTCTATCATGATTCTGATTGAGACTGATGATATTTTAAAATGGTTAGAAAATGGACATTGTAATAATTTATTTATTTTGATTCTTGAGGATTTATACCTATTAGTAAAATATAAAGTGTATTACTCTTGACCCATGTACAGTAGCTTTTATTGAATCATAAGTTGATATTACATCCTTGGCTTTTAACAGAAGTTGGTGAAAGTAATGGTCAAAATGGATTATTGCTGCTTGATTTTCTCAATTAATGAAAGAGGTAGTCATGTTGTTCAAGATGGTCAAAAACCTATGCACTTAATTTATGTTAGATTTCAGAACTAAGAAAAAACTTTTCTTGATAAAATTATATTCCTTCTCTCTTAATAATTGGCAGTCTCTAATGTTTCATGTTTCCTTCTGGTTTAAGCAGCTCAGAAACTCAATCATTTATGCTATAGATTGCAAGCACAGTCACTCTTCTTTATTTCTTTCTGTGTTCCATATTAACAGCTTTGATCATGTACTCTTTTACTTTTGTTTCAGTGTTTTTAATTTACTAAGATTCTTCCCTAGTTCTGTGAAAAATACTCTTGGTATTTTGATAGGGATTGCATTGAATCTGTGGATTAGTCACTTTGTGTAGTATAGATATTTTAACAATATTAATTTTTCCAACTCATGAGCAAGGTATATCATTTCATTTGTGTTGTCTTCACTTTCTTTCATCAATGTCATACAATTTTCAGAGTATAGGTCTTTTACTTCCTTGGTTAAATTTATTTCTGATATTTTATTGTTTTTGCTACAATTTTAAATGAGATTGTTTTCTTAATTTCTCCTGCTACTTTATTATTAATGTATAGAAATATAACAGATTTCTATGTATTATTTTGTATCCTGCAACTTTACTTTACTGACTTATTAGTTGTAATAATTTTTTGGTAGTCTTTAGGGTTTTCTATATATAGTATTATGTCATCTGCAAATAGTGATAGTTTTACTTCTTCTTTAACCAATTTGAATGCTTTTTATTATTTTTTTCTTGTCTGATTGCTGCAGCTAGGACTCTCAGTACTATGTTGAATAAGAGTGGTGAGAGTGGACATCCTTGTCTTGTTCCTGATATAAAGGAAAGATTTCAATTTTTCACCATTGAGTATGATGTTAGCTATTGGTTTGTCATGTATTTATTATTATGTTGAGGTATGTTCCCTCTAAACCCATTTTGTTGAGAGTTTTTAATCATGAACAGATGTTGAATTTTGTCAGATGTTTTTTTCTGCATCTGTTGAGACGATCGAATAGTTTTTATCCTCCATTTTGTGAATGTCATGTATCATGTTGACTGATTTGTGGATATTAAACCAGTATATGTAGAGAACTTTAAATACAATTGTAATCTATAGTTAATTAACATTATTTCTAAAAACAAGGCTTAAAGAAAATCACTAGATAATAAAAATGAACAAAGGGTACAAAGATACATGTTAAGTATGTTTATAATAGTTACAAAATAGCAATAAGAAAATATGCTCCAAGAGGACAAGGATTGTTTGTTTTGTACACTGGGGCATCTCAATGCCTAGAACAGTGCTTAAAACAAAGTAGGTACTCAATAAATGTTTATGGAAAGCATGAATACATAGTTAACATATAATGGGAAAACAATACACAAATTTTACAGTAATAGAATAGTTGTTAAAATATGTGAGTACAGGGATAAATTGTAAATTCAGTTTTTAATTTTAAAAAATTGGACTTTTTTTTAGTGGCTCAGAAAGATCTTACTAGGCTGACTCTACCAAACATAACAACTTTAATGCCTGGACCTAAAATGGAATACACCAAAAAGTCACAATGCATATCTTTGGGTTTGTGGATTCAGGTTATTTTAATTTTACTTTTTGTAATTTAAAAATGCTTCTACAAAAAAAAAACTATGTTTTTTTCATAGAAAAAGAAAGATAAAATAGTACCTTTGTGTTTATTTTTAGAAAGAATCTGGGCTGCTACCTGGACTTTTTGTTAGGATCCTGGCCACTAAACAGTACTCTCACAATGTAGAGCCAGAGCTGCTCTGTCCCACTGATTCAGTCCAACTCAGTTATTTGCAGAAATACTAAATTTTTCTTTCTGACTATAGCTCTAAATTTTAAAGTCTATTTATTTATGTCCTGGTCTCAGACGTTTTATAATTATTTGAATTCTCCAGCTTTTGTCTTAGCTCCCCTCCATCACTGGAAAGCAGACTGATGCTACTTCCTTGATTCTGAGCTTATATCTTTATATTTAGTATTTACTTCTCTTTTCTCTTTAAAAGTGCTTTTCTGGACACATAGCATCCTTACATTGCTCTTCAGTTCTTTGTCCTAGCATAGGAGTCTCTTCCAGTAGAATAGCTCTTTGCTGCCACCTTCTGGTTTTTGGCTGCTAAAGCCAGGCAGCAGGTCAAAGGTGACCATTTTAGTGTGGGCTCTTCCCAGCCTCAGAGAATGCTCCCCCTTTTCTTTGGCTTCTTTCGATCTCTTCAAAGTGATCTTTTGATATATTTTATTCTCCAAAACTGGAATTAACTAGTTGTTACAGAGCCCTTATGTCCCCAAAGCCAAAATTTTTTACTAACTTTTTACAGAGAAAGCTTGTTGACCTCTGCTCTAAAGAATATAAAAATAGCCAAGTATAGGGGGCAGCCACAGCCTTTATGGATGAAGAAAGTGCCCAAAGAAGTAATAAGTATGGAAGAGGCTGCCTTCCCCCAAAGCAGAGTAAGGTCTTACTGGAGAGAGTGTGGCTGTGTCTCAGTGAATGACCGTTAGCAACCGCTTGCCAGATGCCAGAGAATTTGATGGAGGTTAAATGGAGTTTGAATGGAGTTTCTGGGTAGAGAACTTGGCTGGAGGGTAAGCACCATTGGTTTTCCGCATACCAGCTGGCAGCAGTTCTGCAGAAAGAAGAAGAAAATAACTGGAATCAGAACAAGGATGTGAAGTGCCTTGCTGCAGCCTTGTAAGCCCCTCCACTGCCCTCTATTGACAAAGCCTAACTTAACTCCAGCTGGCAAAAGAAAACTGTTTACATATACAGCTCCAGTATCTCAAATTAGAGTTAAAAGAGTGGATTTAGAATTAAGAGGCAATAATTAGATAACTGGCACAAATACGTAGTTCACATGCGAATTTCTCTAAATCAGTTGATTTCTGTATGTAACGTAGCACCATGCATTGCATTTATCTCATAACTTTTGAGTCTCCTTTCATCTTAGAGTCTCCTACATTAAAAAAAAAAAATTGTCTTTCATTACACTGACATTTGTTGAAGAGTCTAGGCCTGTTACTTTGCGGAACATTTCTCACTATGGATTTATTTTTTGTTTGCTCATGATTAGATTCAGGTTAAACACTTTTGGCAGGAATATTACATAGTTATAATATTGTGTCAGTGAAATATCACAAAGTACATGGTATAAGTTTGTCTCAGTACTAGTGAAAGTAAGTTTGATCATCTGGGTAAAGTTATGACCAACAGATGTATTCATTTTCCTGCTGTAATTAATAAGTACTCAATTGAGCAACATTTTAAGAACATGCAATTGTCTTTGTTTCCAAAAAAAAAAAAAATGCACTTCAATTTAGCATCTATTGGTAATTCTTGGTTGAATCCATTGTTGTAATAGTTGTGAAATGGCAATTATTGTGGGCTTTCATTCCCTCTACAATGAACTGGCAATGAGAACCGAAAAGTCTGGCACAAGCTGGGTTGTAAGCCATATTGGTAAAAGTGGCAGTCTTCTTCCAGTTCTGATTCAGGCACTTATCTCTGCATTTCCTACCACTTCACCTGTTTACCCAAGTCTCAGGAAAACATCTTGTAGGCCTGGTTTCACTCTCCATCCTTAACATGCTGTTTATAAGTAAGAATATGTGTGACTGTGATATTTTAATGGATCTTGGGTTTCTCATTATATAAAGAGATTTTTTAAAGACACATTTTTGAGTTTGAAAGAACCTAAAACTTTTACAGTTTAATTACCCAACCTAGGGACCAAAAGCAGTTTGTTTGTTATTTGTTAATGCATTTATTCAACAAATTATTTATTTAGGAAATGTTTTTACAACTACCATATAACTCTGTCATTCTCCAGCCTCTCTTCTTGAACATTTTCAATAATAGTTCAGTTGGTATTTTACTAAGTAGACCACACTCTGTCTCATGTTGTCTACAGTATTATGTATCCATTTAACTCTGATACTGTTTTTAGCAGCTACATAATTCATATTGCATAATTAAAAGGCAGTATCTCTGATTGTGTGGTAATGTCAAGTATAACTATGGAGAGTTTAAATCTATCCACATATTTTTTGCCCACTAACTTTCAAGGAATAATTTTTTTTTAAAGAAAAAAAAATTTATTCTAGTCAAATGGAGAACCTGATCACATTTTACAAACTTCAAACTTGAATTGTGTCTATCTTGTTTTCAAAATTGAATGTGTGCCTTCTGTAAAGTAATATTAAAAACAAACTGATAGTTTTTAAAAAGAGGAGTTGAAGACTGGTTATTGGTTACTTTAATATTTTAGTTCAGGGTTATAAAGTACAAACTGAACTGAACTGAAATTCTGTATTCTTTTTCTTGGGGTTGTATCACTTACTAACTTTGCTTCAAATAACATCAGGAGTTTGGTTGGTTGGTTGGTTGGTTTTTGTTTTTTTATAATACTCAATTTTTAATGAATATTTTACTCTTTATTATAATATAAGTAAAATGTATCTTGTGTTAGCAATTGTCCTTAATAATGTTTTCTGATATCCTATAAATAAAACCTCCTTTTCTAAAAATTTGGTAATTTATAGGGTAGAGAAGAATTCTTGAAAAAACTCACACGAGGTGAAGTGGCTAATGGAATGATGATTCAGGTAATCCTAATTTGGTTTCAATATTTTATTCTTCCTTTAATTTGCATTTTACTTAGCATTTTAAATCTGCCTGTAATGAGGCATCTTTTCACTCCTTGGTTTGCAAGCCAGCAGTTTCCTCTCCTCAGCTGATGACAGTTGCCCTCTGTACAACCAGCAGTATCTGATCACGCATAAAGAAACTGACCTCCCAGACACATATCTCATTTTGTGGCTTAATGGGGATTTCTGCCAGTCTAGTAAAAGGGCAGTGAGATCTTATTCCTAAGTGTCTCTTTAGTTTGCTTTGTGATGATGCTATGTTTTCTTTACTTTTAGTGCCTTTCAATGGAATTTCTTTATTTAACACTGAAAGAAAAATATGATATTTCTATATAAAGATTTTGAGATTAAATTATTATAGCTAGCAAAATCAATTTTAATTCTTTTTATCTTTATCTACCACCTGCATATCCTTTGGAACCAGGGTTGGATGTTTTCATCCTTGGCATGTTTCTAGAATGCCCCCCTTTCAGAAATACATAAATATTTAAAATTATAAAAATAAAATCAAGAGGCAAAACAGTCCAAAACAGTGTTATTTTATACACTTATTTGAGATTATCTGGACCTCTGGTCTTCTTTTAAATAAACACAAATTGTGATTTCTTCTGTTAGGAAATTTGGCATTTTTAAATATATAAAAGCAGTGTTTCTTTAGTTCTATATGCTGAAAATGCCAAATTTTCTGATTTATTTTTCTGTGAGTATATATGTTCAATAACCCCATAATCTTCTAGCCCTTTCTACTTAATATTTTGTCATTAACTTCTTGTTCATTGGTTTTATTAGATCTTAGATTACAGGAATTGCATATATTTCAATATTTGTTGTTAGTGTGCTTTTTAACCCTATTATCTTCCAATACTTACTTAAAAATGTTTCATTTTCTGGGTGATGGGCATTGGGTAGGGTATGTACTATGGTAAGTGCTGTGAATTGTGTAAGACTGATGAATCACAGACCTGTACCCCTGAAACAAATAACACATTATATGTTAATAAGAAAATTTAAAAAAAGAATGTTTCATTTTTATTGTCTATATTAAATTTTTCTCTCATTTTTTCTAATAATAGCTATGCATTGTATAAATATGCTATATTCATACCTGTTGCTTTTTATGGTGGCATAATTTATTTTTAATTTTCAAATAACAACAGACATTACTTCCTGGCTCAGGATTGAGACTCAATAAATGTTTTTGTTTTTTTTTTTTAAGTTTTTAATTCCGGTTAGTTAACATACAGTGAAATATTAGTTTCAGGTGTACAATATAGTGATTCAGCAATTCCATACATCACCCTTACAAGTGCGCTCCTTAATACCTATGTTTAGGTAATTAATAACTGAATGAATTATTTAAAATCTTTGCTGGCAGAAAAGACTGTATACCATTCACGAAGAACAGATACTTGAGAGGCGGGAACTTTTGGAAAAGAAAGCAATGTGTGCCCTGGCGCTGGCAGAGCTAGAGGCATCTCTGCTTGAACTAGAAGAAGACGCTATAAGAATCAGAACTATCCACAAAGAACATTCTGATGTAAGTATTTGTAATTAATCCAGAAGCTAATCTCCAGGAATATTTAAGTCAAATCATGTATGTGATTTTACAGTGTTACTTGGAATATTATGATTTCACATAGCAAGACATAAAAGCATGAACAAAATACATATATTATGGCCACACGACTGATCTGTAGTGAAACTATATAGCAAGACTACTAATGCTATTACCTGGAACCCCATACTCTATATTAGAGTGTACTTAGGAAAAGCAGTTTTCAAATAAATGAGTAGTGATTTATCTGACGTGATTGCCCACTATGTTAAATTTAATTCAAAGTCTTCACTGCTTGTTAATAAAATGCTAAGGCTGTGTTTGCTCAAATATGAAATATAATGCATCTTGGCATTTTTATGGCAAATATTTGATGTATGTAGAAGAAGTTAAGACACCTAGGATGAAAAATAAAGCAAACGTCGATAAAATATTTTCAAAACAACAAGTTTATGGCAGTAACTGATATTGCTAGCCCTTCCCAAAGAAAAATTTAGTAGAAGAATATGTATGCATCATGTCATTAGTCTTTTGGAAAAGTGGAGGGTGTGGTAAGAGTTATATATTCTTGTCCTTAGATGCAGGGAGGACATACATATATTCATTTGGGCCATTTTGGCAACAGGATTTTTTTTTCTTTGTAAATGATGATGTAATTTTATATTCTTAGTCTTTAATAATTTTCAGTGTTTTTTTAATTTAAAAAACTTTATGATTTATAAGATGTTCCCATTATGAGAGTTCATTTTGATCTCCAAAGTCTCCCTATGAAGTAGACAAGACAGAGTTTATCTGGATCATAGCCTTAAGAAAACTTGGGCCTAAATGCATGAAGCAACTTGAACAAGGCCATAAAACACGGCAACAACAAATTCTGAGTATACTACTATACTCAGGGCTCTTAATTGCTTATCCTAGAGCTCATGTAATGAATATATAACCAGTACTAACACCTAGTGAGATAAATGATTTTAATAATGGATCCTCCTTACATTAGTGATGGAAATTTATTAATTGCTTCAAAAGCCTCAGTATAATCATCTGAGTATAATGAATTCCTGAAAAGATTAATGACTTTTATTCCCCCCTTATTTTATAATAGCCATTGTTTTATCTCATCTTTTAGTTCAGTAATCATTTTTGTTTTTATTATATTTTAATAGTTTATAAGTTATAAGAACTATCAATTTAACACAAACTCTTGAAAACAATAAGTTTTTATGTACTTTTGGTAATGATTGCTGACAATTTGTATCTGGAATTTTAATTTTGGTTTAGATATTTTAAGTATCATGGTGAAAACTTATGATTTCTATGTGAGTTTCTTAGTTTTTGTTACTTAGCTAAAATTGGTTAGATTTTGGTTTTCTCCAATAATTCAAATGGAATATTGGGATGTGGATATCATAGTATGGTTTTGTAATTCATGTTTGTTGGTCCTTTTCCTTTATACCAAAATATATATTGTTATTATTAAAATAGTCACTTGAGAACTATTTGGTCTAAACCAGGATAATTGGATTGCAAATGCTGCACATCTTAATTTCTGAATGTCTTCTAGATATTAAATGATATAACTGAGAGGAGAGACGATGTTAAAAGAAATGTGGAAAGAACTAAGCAAAAATTACGAAGAAGGGGGAAGAAAACCCGTGAGGCAATAACAGAAACTGAAGTAAGAAATTTAACATAAAAAATAATTATGAATTTACAACTTCTTTATGTCAATGAAAACTATTCAAGCAAATTTATTTTAGGTTGATGCCTCTCATTTCTAATTGGTTGCACTAAGTAGTTTCTATACACATACACACACACACACACGCACACACACACATGCACACACACACACAGTCTCTGTATCTTCATTTTTTTCTCTTGCGGTGTTTTTCCCATTGTACTAGTGAATCCTCCTGTTAACCTGTCCTACAAAGTAGAGGTGGGGATTTGTATTGTACTAAAAATAGTACCATGTTTATACAGATGAGACCAATATACAGACTGAAACATCTGTTAATATCTGACATCTCAGTTTTACCCTCAAGCTGGTGTATAGGCAGCATGAACAAATGGTCATATATCAAAGGGCTTCAGGGCTTTTTCCACATTAGAAATACTTGCTCCCTGAGAATCTTTTTCTCTAATATTTTGTCTTTAGAGAATCACTGGATATGGGGGGTGGAGATAGTCCATTGTCTTTAACTTGGTATCCTCTGGATATACTTTAAAGGTCGCACCAATTGGATTTGTTGGTGGACAGCATGTTGGCTCTGAAATAGAGGTGTAATAATATCATTTTTTAAAAGTTTGTACTAGGCCACAAAAGATTAAAAATTATCAAGGAAAATAGTAATGCTAATAACAACAACAGATACTGATATTTTGCATGTTCTCTGTATACCAGGCATTATTTTAAGTGCTCATATTAACTCATTTCAACTTCATAATAACTCTGTGAAGATTGTGCTATTTTTATCCCCATTCTACAGTTGAAGAATCTAATGCCTTGTTTTTGAATTAACTTGTTCAGTTTCACACAGCTCATTAATGGTGGAGTTGAGATTCACTAAATCTGGCACTGACATTAGAGTCTGTGCTCTTAACCATTATGTTATTCTGGTCAGATCATACAGGTTACTTTTGTTGAATACAATGAAGCAAAATCAGAACTCAGTAACAAAAAAATAGAGCAAAAAGAAAACATTATTGGAAATATTTTTTAAATTACATTTTTTCATTATTTGTTCTGTGTTAAGGAATATGTAGAAGCACAAATTATTTATAAATTAGTGATGATAAACTCTACAGCAAAATTTATGGAACAGGCCAAGGTAATACATTAGTGTTACCAATAATCATTTTGGTAAGAAAAATGTAAAGTACTTAGCATATCTATAAGGACAAAAAGAAGATAAAAACAGCCATGGGAAAAATTAAAAGAGACATAATTATATATAATAGTGGAAGAAAGAATGCTATTTTGCATAGAACTTTGTTTTAAAATTTAGATGAAGTATACAATTTATATACAAATTATTATACTATTTATTAAAATACAAATAATGAAAACTGGGTAAAGAGGGAAAATCACAACAAGAGTAGAATAAAAATTATAGAATAAATGTAATTTGTCTATACCACTAACCACAAGAACAAGCACAGGGGTACCTGGGTGGTTCAGTCAGTTAAGCCTCCAATTCTTGATTTCAGCTCAGGTCATGACCTCAGGGTCGTGAGATTGAGCCCCACATTGGGCTCCATGCTGGGCATGGAGCCTACTTGAGATTCTCTTTCTCCCTCTCCTTCTGCCCCTCTCTCCCAGCTTGCATGTGTGCGTTCTCTCTCTCTCTCTCTCCCTAAAAGAAAAAAAAATTAATTAAAAAAAAAACAAAAAACAAGCCCAGATACTTTATAGGCCTCCTTACAAAGACCAGATACAGACCATAAGAAAGTATGGAAAGCTTCTAAATTTATTCTGTAATAATATAATTCTGAAATTGTAACTGAAAAATACTAGCTTGAAAAAGAAATCTTTAGGTGACCTCACTTATGAACACAAATGACAAACTCTTAAATATATCAGTGAATTGAGTTTTTAAAATGTGATTAAAAAGCATGTATTATGCAAAGTAAGATTCCTTTGAAGAATGTGAAGATGAGTCAACATAAACAAATGTACAGCTGACGCTGGAACAATGCAGGGTTTAGGCAGTACCAGCCTTCACGTAGTCGAAAGTCTACGTGTAACTTTTGACTCCCCCAAAGCTTAACTACTAATAGCCTACTGTTTACTGGAAGCTTTACTGATTGCAAATAGTTGATTAACAAATATTTTATATGCTATAGATATTATATACTATATCCTTATATTAAAAGAAGCTAGACAAAAGAAAATGTTATTAGAAAAATCAAAAGGAAGAAAAAATACATTTACAGTGGTGTGCTGTTAAAAATCTGCCTGTAGGAGGAACTGCACGGTTCCAACCTGTGTTGTTCAAGGATCAGCTGTACTAATATAATTCAGTACATTTACAGAAAGGAAAGACAATTAACCTAAAATATTTAATAAAACACTATAGGCACTAATGATTTTCAAAAACACTTCTAACTATCTAGAAACAGAATGAAAACATCCTTACCTTGATAATGTGTCTACCAGTACTTTCCAGCAAACGTTATACTTAATGGCAAAAACATTAAAATTATTTCCATTAAAATCAGGAACAAAAACATTCAGACAAGCTCCTACTACTCAGCATACTACTGTTATTGATAACAAATTACTGTTAACACATGTCACAAAGGTAAAACATATGTGTTGAACATGGCAGTGGAAAACCACCTGGTTATTCATGTCCACATCTGAATACTGGTTTCAAAAAATATTAACTAAAAATTGCCAAAGGTGGTATGTCTAATAAATATAACAAATTTCAATGAAGAATATGGCTGAACACTTTCTTTGTGTGTGTGCTCAGTATTGTAGAAGGTACTAGGAGTTGAAGGGCTAGAAAAGAAGGGTTAATTTTCTTTTATTTGTCCTTCAAATAAATTTGTCTTTTCAGTTACTATTAAGCACTTGAGATATATTAAACATTGTTAGAATTTGCTGGAACTGGGGAAGTAAAAGGAGAACTTTGTTCACTCAAGAAGCACATTATCTTGTTGGGGAGCAGACAAGGACACAGAGCATTAATACACTGTGAGCAAAGCCATGACAGCAGTATAATGAGGTGGAAGAGTGTCATGGAGGAGGACACCTGACTGAACTGAGGGAATTGGGATAGGTTTTTCAGAGGAGGTTATATCTAAAAATGAGAATTACTAATGGAGTAAATGAAGGTTAAATACTTAACATTGCCATGATGTTGTGGAGAATAGAGATGATATACAAAAAGCCTTAAAAAATTATTGTCACTGAAGGTACTTATTATCATCATCATCATCATCATTATCATTATATAATTTTTAAATTGATGAAGAAATGAAGTAAGGGCATTTTAGGAACAGGTGCTGTTTGCAAAGCAAAGGTATCATGAAATAGTGCTGTGTGTGGAATTGCAAGTAGTTTGGTATGACCAGAGAGCAGGGCACCTATTTTAAATAGTGAAAAGAGGGGCGCCTGGGTGGCTCAGTCGTTAAGCGTCTGCCTTCGGCTCAGGTCGTGATCCCAGGGTCCTGGGATCGAGCCCCACATTGGGCTCCCTTCTCCCTCTCCCACTCCCCCTGTTTGTGTTCTCTCTCTCGCTGTGTCTCTCTCTGTCAAATAAATAAATAAAATCTTTAAAAAAAAAAAAGTGAAAAGAGATGAAGCTAGTGAGATGGGCAATACACAGATGAAGAAATGCCTCATGCGCCATGCTGTTGAACACCAAACTGTTGTAATGTCAAATATCATTAATAGCATTTATTAAGTACTTTTATGCTGAGAGGTGTACAAGCCATACTATAGACCCTATTTCTGTCTTCTAAGAACTTAAGTTCTAAGACAAATAATTTTTAAGACAAATAATTTTATCTTTTACTGTGCATAAGCATTTCAATCATGGGCCAAAATAAACATGGGCCAAGTTAAACATGGGCCATTACTGAATTTTTACTATTTCTAACCCCAATTTAAATCTTAGGCATAGATTCTAAACTTATTATGTTTAGATAATTTAAAAATTAAATCTTAAATAAAAATATTAAAATCTTAAATTCTTAATCTAAAATCTTTAAAAAATCTTAAATAAAATTAAAAATATAATTTGAAATTAATAATTTAGAATCTGAATATAATCTTTATTACCTAGTATTTTTTAAATATGTGACTTGAAAGTTTGGGGGATAAGGAAATGATGAAAAATGTTGTATACTAAAACATTAATTAACTGCAATTCAGATTTTTAGATTCTTCCAGGTCTGGACATGAAAGTACCCTTGGGTTGGAAAGCCTCCAAATTACTGATGCCTGTGTCCCTCAGGGCTAGAGAAAAAATAAGCCAAAGAATGGTCAAATTATAAATAAATCTTAAATAAATAAATCTGCCTCTATTCCCATTTGCTGTGGTGGCCCTTCAGCATTTCTCAAAAGACTTACAAATGGCTATTGGGGGGGTCCCCAGTCTTTTGCTCACTGCAGATGTGCAGATTTGTACTCCTGATTGACATACAACATCTAACGACTTCTCTCTAGACTCAGCTTACCATAATGATGTTTCTGATATTTTTGATGCCATGGAAGGGGTTATGCTGTTCACATTTACCAAAGCCTCACTGATGGTACCTACTAGAGTGGCAAAATACCATTTTTTGCTTTTCATTGCTGTCTGCAGGAAACACACTGTCTCTTTCTTTCGTTTAGTGTAGATGTTTTGACACCACCTTTAGAACTGCTGAATTGACTGGTCTGGTCTAAGTTGTTGATACCATTGCTTCTGATGTCTTTTGACTTTGCTGTGAGAATCTTCATTCAAGATTAAGGCATGAATTATGGAATCTGACTTAAAATTCAAGTTCGGTGATAGCATGCTGTACCCAGAGTTGCCCATCTCTTTGACTCCTACCTACTTACTTTATTCCATACTTGTCAAACCTCTTCACACTTTTTGGGGGGACTGACTCTTCTCCCAGTAATAATATAATATCCTATTGGTCACACTGAAGAATCCTAGTCAGCCATCTTTCAACTACATTCAGGTATTAAAAACAAGCAAACCAAAAAACCCTCATTTATCAGTAGACGAATTCTAGAACTTTCAGAAAAAGAAAGAAACAAAGGGAGGGTATGAAAATCCAAATACAGTACCCAGTGTTGAAAGTCGTGGACAAATAGCAGATTTTTATAGGAAAATAAATATAAAAGATTAGCCTTTCTACTTGAAATCTGTAAGAGTAGAGAAAGAATCAGAGAGCATATGGGGGAAGTGGGAGAAAATAGGAGCAAAGGGAGCAGTTGATATCTAAAATCATTTGGAAGAGTAGCACTAATTAGAAGCAATGCCAAATGTGGGGAACAGCATTCAGTAAGTCAGTCATCCAATCAGTAAATCATTCAGTCATATAAACATCAACAGTCATGAAAGGATCATGCAAAAACTAGATGCAAAATAAAATCTTCAGTTTGGAATTGCATAGGTCAGCCTTGGGAAAGTGTACTCGTATTAAATATTAATTTCTTTTGTTTGAAAGATCAGGACAATGTATATCCTTGCCCACCTTCAATGTACATGTTTGAAAACCAGTAACCAAATGTTTATATATATTTTTAAGATTTTATTTATTTGAGAGTGAGAGAGAGATCATGAGCAGGGAGGGGGTAGAGGGAGAAGCAGACATCTCCACTGAGCAGGGAACCCAATGTGGGACTCGATCTCAGGACTCTGAGATCATAATCTGAGCTGAAGGCAGACGCTTAACCAACTGAGCCACCCAGGTGCCCCATCCACATGTTTATATTTTGAAAGGACATGCCTTTAAGGTGTGCTTGTATGGGGGCATGTGGAGGGGAAGACAGTGCAGGGGAGAGAGGGGAAAAGGGAAAGAGGAAGAGAGCTGTGGGAAGAGAGACTATATAGTTCTAAACCATTTTTTAGACAATCTCATCAGATGTAACTATGGAGAAGAGAAAGAACATAAATCTAAGTTGTTACTTACACTGATAATAAGTTACTGTTTGCTTTTAATTGTTTACATGGCCAAATGTAATTGTGTCCTTAAGTTGCAAGGATTTGAAAATTCTAGTATTTAAAATAAAACATCCTTGAATTTATTTTCCAGGAAAAATGCTCAATAACTTTTAGAGAAATAGAGAACACTAAAAGTAAAACAATTATTTATCATGCAAAAATAAATCAGTTGAATAAGAACTTAAAAGAAAAAGAGAAAGAAAATATTACTTTTGCTCAGACACTTGGGAATTTAAAGTAAGTACTTAAATTTTATCAAAATATTAAATGTTCAATATATTATTTGTAAAAGAGATAAGACCAAATTTCTTTAAGGTTTATTCTTAAAATTGTCCATTATTTTCCATCATTATTTGATGTGGAGTACACATGTGATATTTGATAATTTTGGTTTAAAAACGTAAATTGTGGGGGCACCTGGGTGGCTCTTGGGCTCAGCTCTTGATCTCAGGTTTAAGCCTCACATTGGGCTCCACCTGGCTTGGAGCCTACATAAAAAACAAACAAACATAAATTGCGTTCATTTTTTATTATTCCCCTGGGTTTATTCTTATTTGAATAACTGGGAATGTTTATTCTTTTCCAAGTATAAGAACTTTTATTAATTATGAAATTAATAATCTTTCCCACTCATTTCAGTATTTCTCACTCACGTGACATGGTTAATAATATATGGTTTTTCACCCAAACTTTTTTGATAAGTTTTGAGGTAATCCTTTAGAAATAGATATTCTACAAAACCTTATGTAATTTGTTCATATTTATTGTCTTCAGAAAGCTCTTATTCAGTCCCTTTATTAATCAGGGACATACCTAACAAGGGTTAGTAAGGTCTTTCACTCAGAGAATGATCATACTCTAAGGCCTCTAGTGTTTCCATAAGACCCTCACTTAGAACTTACATTCTCTTCCTTTGTTCCTTTTGGTTCTTATTTTTCTATTTTGTAATCCATTGAGAACAGAGCTTGAAGGACTACGGGAAGGATATACATTGGTCACATTTAGGAATTATAGTTTGATTTAAATAAGATCTATTAATTAACAATGGTGATGGATAATGTCAAATAATATTTAAAGTTACTATTGATTGACTTCCTAATGTGCCAGGCACTTTGTGGGCAATCTGTGTACTTTATCTTATCCAGTTCTCACAGCAAATTCTTAAGTTATGTAATATGAATACTGAGGAAACAGAAGCTCAGGGAAATTAAATGATTGTCTTTGTACAGCTAATCAGTGGTTAGAGCCAGCCCCAGTTTAGGTCCATCTTGTTCCAGTGTGTGCTTTTAAAACTGTGCATATTGACTCACTAAACTAGGATTGGAAAGGAAGATTATTGCAAATAAACTATATTAGTAATAATCTACTGGTATTTTCAATAGATGACTATATCAAGTTAATCATTATTTATTAAGAACCCACAGTGTGCCTAGTCCCAGACACCAAGAAGGACAAAGAAATGACAAATGGGAAAGTGTACCTTCAAGTTTCTGAAGATAATTTTAGAAATACAAACTTGCATATGCAAAATGATTAAAATATGGTGATTAGAATAATAGCAATTAAAGCTGTCCTTGACTCTAATTTTTACAACTGTTTCTTAATTAGGATGTGAAAGGATTTAGACCCAGACCCATAGGACTTCAGAGTTTATTCTTTTTATCACTATGAGAAAGGAAACACTATTTTCATGTATAGATATACATAAAAGCATATATAGTCTATATAATGTATGTGTGTATATAGTTAACTAATAAAAATGCTGTGTTGAGTATAATCCAATCTCAAAATACTTAGTGTAGAGAACAAAGTATATGTGGTCAAGATATAGTGATGTTTGCTGGGAGCAACTTTGAGAGTTTTTTGGCTCTGGTCATACTAGCTGTTCCCCATGTGAATTTCATGGTTTCTATGTTCCATAATATTGATATCAGTGAATATTTATATAGGATATCACATAAGAATTTTGGATGTTTTTGGTATGAATGATGAAGTGGGAAAAAAATGGGCAAGACATATAGATAAAAGGAAAGGACCTTATCCTATTTAGAAGGAGAGCCTCACATCTAAAAACGTAAACAAAAAATGTTGTTTTCAAATTTCTGATAATAGCCATAGTAGAGAAAGAGAGAAAAAAAATGAGTATTTAGTGTTGAGCTGCTGAATCAAACAGAGTAAGACAAAACTGGATTTGCATTCTGGTTCTGTAATTTACTAATTAGCTCACATAAGCTAATTATGGTGAAGTTTAGTTTCTTCATCTGTAAATTGCTATAATTGATTATTCTTCCATAGGGTGGTTGTTGTATTAAATGAGATATTATATTTGAGCACTTTAACATTTCAGCCCCTCAAAAACTTTAGTCCTGCTGCCTTTTTAGCTAACTGTGCAAATGACTCAATTTTCTATACCAGCAGAGATAAAAACAAATATGGGTAACATAAGACAGTGCTGAGTTTTTGCAGCTCTGTTTATTCTGCACTCTGTGTTACTGATCAACTCTGACAATTATTTCTAAAGCATATTTGTTTTCATTATTGTTTTAACCACTTTTTTTTTTTTTTTTAATTTTTTTTTTTTTTTTTAAGATTTTATTTATTTGCGAGAGAGAGAATGAGAT